GTTGAGCTTTCATTGGACTTTTGCTTGGACAGTTGAGCTTTCATTGGGCTTCTGCTTGGACTGTTGAGCTTTCAATGGGTTTCTGCTTGGGCCTTTAAGCTTTCATTGGACTTTTGCTTGGACTGTTGAGCTTTCGTTGGACTTTTGCTTGGGCTGCTGAGCTTTCATTGGACTTTTTTGCTTGGTCTTTTGAACTTCTTCAGATGTTCGCTAGACGCTTTAATTTTCCAGTGGGGTTCTCAAGAAGAAACCTAAAAAGATGCGACGAGTGGATCAGCTCGAAAACAATGGCCAACAAGAAGGCGAACTCAAGGGCCATTAAAATCCTGAAGGTGGACTGGTGGCAAGGGATTGAGGGAAGGTTGTGAAATGCTGGCAAAGAAAACTGGGGCCAGGGACTAAAGAGAGGAGACTGGAAACCTGCCTTCCCCACCACAAGGCAAGCGCAAAGAAGAACGGACCCAAGGAGAAAGAAACTGAGCAGGTGACTGCTGCTTGGGGGAAGGGAGGCTGGGTGGAAGGAACTGGTGAAACGCTAAGGACTGGGGTCAGGGACTGGAGAGAAGAGACTGGAAAACTGCCTTCCCCAACAGACGAACCTTGGCTCAACAGCTAGGCGTCTCCCAGCCTGAGCGCACAAGCTCGCTGTCGCTTGGTGACTGGGCTGCGTGGCGTTTTGGGTTCAGGGCTTGGGTTTAGGGTTTGCCGGCTGCAGCAGCTAAGGCTCAGCTAGGCTGCAACTAAAGCTTACCTAAAGCTTTGCTTAGGCTTAGGCGTTAGCTACTGCGTCAGCTAAACTCAACGCTTTAGCTAAAGCGTTAGCCAAAGGTTGGCTCAGGCTTTAGCTTTCGCTAAGCTTTAGCCGTAGCTACTGTAAGCTCAAAGCTATCATGGTAGCCAGGGCTTAGCTAAAGCTAAAGCTTTCTGGCTGCAGCAGCTAAAGTTAACTAAAGCTTAGCTGAAGCTTTGCTCAGGCGTTAGCTAAAGCCTAAAAGTTCACACACTCATACACAAGCCTTTCGTTTACTCTGCCTCTCCTACTAAAACTCTGTCTCCTTTTCTTCTGCCTCAGCCATTGTATTTCAAAAATATAATCAAACAAACTTGAAAAACTTTTAACCTAATGCAATATCTATTTGTTCATTCGACATTTGACCGTTAACTATTAGTTGGACTTTGGTCTGGACTTTGAACTTTTGGCTGGACTTTTGCTTAGGCTTTTAACTTTTGGTGGGACTTTGGTTTGGACTTTTAACTTTTGGTTGGACTTTGGTTTTGACTTTTAACTTTTGGTTGGACTTTGGTTTGGGCTTTAACTTTTGGTTGGACTTTGGTTTGGACTTAAAACTTTTGGTTGGATTTTGGCTTGGACTTTGAACTTTTGGTTGAACTTTGGTATGGGCTTCTAACTTTTGGTTGGCCTTGGACTTCGAACATTTGGTTGGACTTTGGCTTGGTCATTGAACTTTTGGTTGGACTTTGGTTTGGACTTTGCACTTTTGGTTGGACTTTGG